GGTGATTTCTCGGAAATAATGGTTTATGGCTCTGATGATGTCATTTATATGACGGACGAAAGCTCAGCACGGAGTCATCTGGGTTATAGGATGGTGAGTTGAGGTCTTCTTTACACAATTCAACAGACAAAAGGCCAAAGCAACCCTCCTTTGCTATCCGGTGAGGCCAATCTACGAATCCCTTCCACCCGCCTTCTCAAACGAAATTAAAGGTATGCCAATATTAATCTTCTAAGGGATTATTCCAAACCCGGCTTCTTTTCATATGTTGAGCAAAAATGGCCTTACCTGAATACAAAGTTTTATCTCAACCCCATCTAAAAAGTAAGCTCAAAAATTCTCGAAGAGGGCCATTATCGACGGACCTGTCAATTTTTTTAAACTTTTTTACCAATTTAGCTATCATTTTTTTGCGGTCAAACGGGGTGGTAATATCAAGAAAGTTCATTAAGATCAAAATAATCTTATAGACAGAATGTAAGATTGCAGCTGGCTATTGTTCGACTAATTCTTTTTTCGAGCTCTTGGCTAAGTTCCTTGCTTTGGATATTTATGACAAAAACTTACCACTTGCTACGGTTAGGTGTCTCACACGTAGATGGGAAATTTGTTGGCAAAAAAACACGAAAACTTTCCTACATATTTCCTCCGAACTCAGGAATAATCCGCAAATCCAATTTAACTTTCCATAGCTATAATATACATTGAATAGCCCAGCTTATAATCATGGTAAAATAAGTTAAAACGAGTTATATGATATACTCAGTCGTTCGTCACCTATGGGGCTTAAAATGCTGACATTTAATTAGCGTTGTATTAGTAGTAGCTTAGGCCTCATTATTAGGCGCCTGCCAAGCAATTTGTTCGTTTAAATTATTTGTTGTGTAGTAATTATAATGTTTTTGTTACCGAAAGTTTCGTCTTATTTCATTTTTAATGGGGATTCAGCTTTGGTTGCTATATGCTTAGAAAGTAGGGAGTTACGAATTTAATTTTGCCGATAAATTTCGCTATACCTTCTCTCCGTAGTATATAATTTCATCTAATGTGAATTCCGGCAATCTCTGTAAAAGCCCATTAAATGTTAGATTGTAATCGAACTTTAAGAGCTTCAAAACAATGTTTTTTATGGTTTTCTGATGGATGTTTGCTTACATTTAATTCCAGTCGAAAAAAAATCTGTCATCCTCTAAGCCCTCTGGATCAAGTGAACAGCCCAAAGGCCAAGGCCAAATTTCACCAGATGGTGGTCTTGAACTTCGTCCGGCTCTACTTGTTCTGCGACTCGCTGTTCAGAGTGCCAAGCAAATCATGTACACGCTTGACTGCAAATACTTCTCTGGGTTCTGGGCTCTGATTGGAGACATAAAAAAGCTCATTTCACCCATTCTCCCAAAGGTATGTACAAGGCCCTTTAGCTTCACTTTTTGGTACAAATTTCATATTCTTATTCTTTTCCTCTGTTAGCCTTTTCACATCTAAATTTTAGGACAGCTAAAGTTTACCAAACCAGAGGTAATAATCCAGTTTAGGTATTATATCTCACAGAGTCTGCTATTCATATTAACCCATTACGAATCTAGTTATTAGTGGTTATGATTACCTAAGAGTCCTGTGATCACCACTCTTAGTCGACTCCTTTAGTTCATCTGCAAGTTCCTTTTTTACCTTAGTCGAATTGCTTTATTTATGAAGGTCCTGCGTTTAAAAAAAACATTTTGATTCATCACTAAGTTTATTTTGTCTACTATATTCATTATTCCTTGACTTTTCTAATAAAGAGATAGACCTACATTTTCTCGATTCATATTTTTATTTTTGGGCTAGACTGCTTATAGTTTGATCACATTTAATTTTAGTATATCTTAAGTAACTGGATACTTACACTTCCCACTTTATGTTTCATTATAAAGGATGTTTAACTAAACTATCTATCG